CCCCTTCGTTTATCTTGTACCCGCGCCCAAGCATGGCCCCGCCTGTGCGTGCCTACGTATCATCATCATCAAAGTTTTTACCGCACGCCCACGATCGAGAGTGAATCTCTTGGATGCGTTGCCTTCTCGCTGCGCGCTTTGATCTGGGCGGCGAGCCTGACAGACGTGGGAGTGAATTGCTTGCCGTTTTTCACAGTTTTGGGTGCTTGGTGGTAGAGAAAAGAGAGCTCTCCTTTTACTGGGCGCACGCGGATCACCCGTCCCGCCCGTCCCAACTGTTTACCCGAACCCCACCTACAATCTACAAAGTGCGCGCTCTCGTGTCACGACCCGGCCATTTCCTCCGTTGCCGCGGTTCCCCAGGCTAGCTACTACTAGCCGACTGACCACAGTCACAATCACAATTCACAAACACCTTTGCTTGGCTCCGTCTGACCGTCTGTCTGCGATCGATGATTGGCGGGGCGGGGCGGCCGCGGCGTGGCGGTGCGGTGGCGCGGCCGCGACGCAGGTTTGAAGTCGCTGGTGGCGAGGAGGAGGGGGAGGAGAGGGAGGCCACGACGGCGGCGGCGGCGAGCGCGGGGTGCAGCTGCCGGTCGTGCGCGGCGGTGGCGGTGGCGGACTGCGTGGCGCTCGCGTGCTGCCCCTGCGCGGTGGTCAGCCTGCTCGGCCTGGCGCTCGTCAGGGCGCCGCTCGCCGTCGGCAGGCTGGTGATCAGGGCCAGGCGGAGGCGGCGGGCGCTGCTGCGCGGCAAGCTGGTGCGCGACGTGGCCGCCCACGCCGCCCCGGCGCCGAGCGACGGCGGTGGCGCCCACGAGAAGGGCGCCGAGAAGGAGGCCGACGTCCGCACCGGCGTGGACGCGACGGGCGGCGAGGTTGGGACGGCGCGAGACGTCGATGATCACGAGGCGGAGCTGGCGTGGCTGGAGGAGATGTACCGGACGGGGCGCTGGGGCTTCGGCCGCGTCTCCTTCTCGGCCAAAACCCCGTGAGCCGCCCGCGGCGCCCGTTCGAGCGCCGGCATGACAGCCGGCCGGCGCGTGCACGGCGGCGGGTCAACTTCAGATATCTTCTAGCAGCCTGGCAGTAGTGAGTAGTGAGTACGTACGATCAGCCGGGTGCATGCACCGCGCCGGCGTGGACAGGGATGCGCGTCGCGCTTTTTTCTCGCGCACGTTCGAATCTCGATTTATTCAGAGCTGGTTAGAATTGACATGTTATCTTCGATTTGCCTATGCCTAGTGCTAATTAGAAGCGTGCGAATCTCAACTGGGAGCACGTGTTGGCTTCGTTTGTCATGGAATCCACATCATGTTCCCCCTTGCATTTGCCTATCTATACTTCTCTTAGTACATCTTCTCTTTCATTTCCACTTGTTTTTTATTTCTTTTTCGCTGCCCGTTATGGTTCTCATAGTACTTTCTATCCGTAGAAAAAGAAATGATATGGTCCCTTGCGAAAAAGGAAATGGCATTCTTTCTTGACTGGCCGCTGATTCACTCAACCAACCGTCACTTGACTGGCCTCCACCATCGCCGCCCCCTGCCCCCCTTCTCCTAGGCAGATTGGTCAATGACATTCTTTCTAGGAAAATTTTATCTCTATAACATGGCAAGTTTGAAATATATATTTTTAACAATCACGTGGCAAATTAAGAACATCCCGAAAACATGACAAATTGAAATATGTAATGGTCACACGACATTTTTACGATTACACTTGTCCCATGTGTCCACGGCAAATTCCTAAATTTGTGATCCTTTCAAAGGATAAATTCCATAACGTTGACATCTTTTTTTTAAAAGAACAAGATTTGTAAGTCTGCCTTGTCCTCTACAAATATTCAATATTTGAAATGTTTTTTTAGAATACTATTTTCATTTTTTTCCTATGCAATTTTATTATAGGTACCATGGCAATTTTACTAATTAGACCATGGCGGTTTTTCAATTAGACCATGGTAGTTTTATGGTAACTACCATGGTAGTTTTATGGTAACTACCATGGCAATTTTACTATTTACATCATGAGAATATTATTAATAATTAGACTATGTCAGTTTCAATTTAGATAGCACGACAATTTTATTTTTTAGACCATGGCAAATTTATTAATTAGAATTTTTTTTTGCGAGAAAAACTTCCAATCTATTCATCTTCAATCATGGTAGTACAACGAACAATAGAAATAATAAAAATTACATCTAGATCCGTAAACCACCTATCGACGACTACAAGCCTGAAACGAGCCGAAGGCGCGCCGCTGTCATCGCCCCTCCATCGCCGGAGCCGGGCAAACCTTATTGTAGTAGACAGTCAGAAAGTCGTCGTGCTAAGGCCCCATAAAACCAACGCACCAGAACATTAACCGCCGCCGATGAAGAGTGTAGATTAGAAAGATCCAACCTGAAGACACAGGAACATAGACGAATAACGAACAGATCCGAGCAAATCCGCCAAAGATAGATCCACCGGAGACACACCTTCACACGCCCACCGAAAATGCTAGACGCATCACCGAAACGGGGGCTAGGCGGGGAGACCTTTATTCCATCTTCAGGGAATCGCCGCCGTCTTGCCTTCCTGAGTAGGACACAAAGTCACAAACCCTAACAAAATTCGAAAAAATATCTAGAAACGAAGCCCTCCCACCAGCAAGGGCCGAGATCCACTCCGCCTCCATGGCCCTAAGGCCACCGGAGACGGGGAGGACCGGCGGCGGCGCCGGCGGGAGGCAAGAGAAACCCTAACTTTTTGGAAAAGAAAGAACCAGGACGGAGTAGTCGACTTCTTAAAGAGTTAATAGTTAGACCTTATTATTTTTATTGTTGGTAGCATGACGACAACTTTATTACTTAGACTAGTAGAGTGCCTGTGCGTTGCCACGGGCTCTTGAAGAAGTTTACAAGAGATACATGTTAAATTGGTCTTACACCATCTATGTAAGAACATATCATCTTTCAAAAAACATATCATCTCCAATTTCCACAAACAAGGTTTTCTTGGGGACAGACATGATTGATTTGATGACTAAAATATCTCTAGGGGTACAAACATACTTTGTCGACATCATAAAAAATTGAGTCAACTTAGACAACAAAATGAGCCAAATTAGTTGAATACAGAAGGCAATTTCACAAAGAAAATATTGAATGGCACTGAAAAAATACCTTGTGCGATAACATTTAAATTGACATCCTTTTTGGTTTCTTATGAGATATCACCGCTTCGACAACATTATGTTGTAAAAAACTCGGTGAATTTACGGCCCCTTTCAGCAAATTCGCATCGGAACCCTCAATGGATTCTTTTTGTGCATCTCCAAAGTCCATATCCATGTCTCCTATATTCTGAAAAAATAATAATATACAAAAAATATACCTTTAGTATTTTCATGTAGAATATACATACAGAGGAAGGTTAGCTTTATTCACCTCTTCTCGTGGTGTTTCAATGCGGTCTGTCTTTGTTACATCAGTGCATACGTCGGAACCCATCACTTTGTATCTACGATGAAATATATATGATGAAATATAAATGATATTTTCTACTACATAGTATAATCATATATAATATCTGAAAAAATAAAAGTGAAACTAACACAACTGTTTTCTCTATAAAAAAACATATTTGACATTATTAGGAAAATATGTTGGTTAAATCATTGTACTAACACAAAATTCGGGGAAAACAACAAACCGTAATGTTCATATATAAGTAAATTGTCATATGAAAATTATTTAAATTATTTATATAGGCCATGGTAAATTGTCCAACAAAAGAAAAAAACATGCAAATAAACCTTCTTCAACCAAGTATACTTGTTTTTTCTCTCAATTTACTCTGATACCCTTAGTATATGAAAGGTAAGTATAAAAAATATTTAATTTTATGAACCATATTTAATATATATATATATATATATATATGTATATATATACTTTTTTATTGTTTCTGTGAGGTATGTATACTTTTAATATCTATGTTTTTTATCATAAATTCGTACACATGCGAGTCTAGCATTTCTATCGTTGAGCAAAATTTGCACACAAGGCCGAAATAAGCTATCCACCACGGCCCAACCAGCACCCGAACTTAGCCCCCTAAAAAAAACCTATAAAAGAAATTACCTTGTCCATAGTATATTTTTTTGAGGGATTACAGTATACCTGGACAAATGGGCCGGCCCGACACGGCCAGGATTACACGGGCCAGGCACGACACTTCTTGGCAAGGCACGCGTGCTGGCCTCCCCGGCCCAGGCACGGCAAAGTTGCCTCACGGGCCGGCTCGAGGGCCCACCTGGCACGCTTGCCTCTGGGCTCACTCGCCACCCCTCGCCTTTTCCCCTCTCCCGCCCGCATCCCAACCCTAACCCCACTCACTCACCACTCCCCCTCCACTCAGTCACTTCCTCTCCCACTTTTCCCTCCCCCGCCGCATCGCCGTGTGCCCCGACGAGCCGGCGCCCTAATAGAATGCCAGTGCGTTGCCACGGGCATTTTAAAAAACTTAATGGTTGTATATATAAACATAATGATCATGTTCCAATGGAAAAAATAGTTGAGACTCATGTATATATGGTACCCCTCATTACAATTAACGTCACTAAATTTTTACATCCATCAAATCATGAGTGAGTGCAAAAGTAAATGAATCTAAGTTGAGTAGAATAAGGAAGGATAAAATGAATGAACAAATGAATCGTGCTCATGTCGTTCATCCATTCTTCTCCATCTAGAAATGGAACCCAATACGATGTTGCTGCACATTGCATCGCTCCATGAGAAAGTCGGGAACCTATCAGGAACCCCATTTGCCCATTTCTTCCACCGCTGACCTCAACATCGCCCCATAACATCTCTCCACCAGCTCTGTCATGCTGCCATGTCCACCATGTTACACTTCATCTTACGTTACTCCTCACGTAACATATGTACTATGTCCAACCATGCATATCAGTAAAATATATGCACTGTCTACCCAACAAATATTTGTTTTGCCGAACAACTTGTATGCCCGCCTTCTCTAAACCAATTAACCAATCTGCCACATGCTAACCGAACACTTTGGTCCATATACAAATTATAGTAATTCTCTTCTCAAAAGGAGAATTGCGGAGATAAAGCGATATATAATTCAGTCGGCTCAAATGTACATGTGAAAGATGATGGTGCAAAACAAAAGCATGGCTCAAACAGGTTGGTGCTTCTACTAACTTTGATATGGCTCCAGTCCACTAAGTTGCCTTTGTAGGAAAGAGAGACTTTTCAGGACAACTGTTTCTCCATTGGTAGCACATGTTTTGAGGGAATTTGATAATTATTTGGACTATCATACATATAAAGTGGAAAGTTCTTCAGCTAGAAAACCCAAAAATGACATCACATTTTAATTAAGCTAAACAACTGAGTTATGCTTCTTGTCGTTTTTAGTCCTGCAGTTTACATTTACATGTGTTTGCCTTGTACTGCAAGTAATATCTGTCTCCACAACTGAACTTTCTATTCCATGTGTCGTAGTACAACATGAGAAATAAGGACATATAAGATGACTGGAAACCAAAGACTAACTAAAGCTTGCATTCACTTAGTTTTATTTGAGCTCGATTTCAAAGAACTACAATAGTCATGTATTTATCAAGTTCAAATAAAATTGCAAGCAAAAATATGAGAGAACACTACGTAACCTAAATTAAGTTGCCATCTGCTATTCAGAAACATGACTGCCTCGTAAGATACTAAATCCAATAGATTCAACCAATTTATCTTTATGAAAGGAATAAGTCTCTGCTTGCACGATCTTGCATATCCTATATGTATTAGAGTTCACTTTTTTTAGTGCATAGATGCATAGAAGACTTGCTGGAATCAAACTCACCGAATCAAGCTAAATTGTAGCCCTAGTTACATTCAAGAGATCACTGCACTCAGAACTGTAGCTATCTCGCAAATGGTTGGATGCATAATGTCTGACAGCTAGGCTATAGACAA